GAGCTAGGGGTCTAGTTTCATTCTTCTGCATGAGACTATTCAGTTCTTCCAGCACCATTTACTGAATAGGGTATCCATTTCCCACTGCATTGTTTTTGTCTGCTTTCTTGAAAATCAGTTGCTTGTAGGTGTGTGGCTTTATTTATTGGTTCTCTGTTCTGTACCACTATTCTATGTGCCTATTTGTATACTAGTATCATGCTGGTTTGGTTACTGTAGTCTTATAGTATAATTTGAAGTCAGGTAGTGTGAGGCCTGCAGCTTTGTTATTTCTGTTTAGGATTGATTTGGCTATCCAGGTTCTCTTTGGATATGAATTTTAGGACTATTTTATCTAATTGTGTGGAAAATAAAATTGATATTTTGATAGGAATTGCATTGAATCTGTAGATTGCTTTAGGTAATATACTCATTTTAATAATACTGATTCTTTCAATTTATGAGAATGGGATGTTTTTCCATTTGTTTCTGTCATCTACAATTTCTTTCATCAGTATTTTGTACTTTTCCTTATAGATATTTTTCACCTCCGTGGTTCAATATGTTCCTATGTAATTTTTTGTAGCTATTATATATGGATTGAGTTCTTGTTTCCAAGTTTGGTCATTATAAATGTGTAGAAATGCTACTGATTTCAGTACTCATTGATTTTTGTGTCCTAAGATTTTACAGAGTTCACTTATTAAATCCAGGTGTCTTTCGGAGGAGTCTGTAAAGTTTTCTAGTTGTATGTTTATATCACCAAACAAAGACACTTTAGCTTCCTTTTATCTGACTTGGATGTCCTTTATTTTTCTTCTAATCTGATTTCTCTGGCTAGGATTTCCAGTACTATGTTAAATAAGATGGAAGATGGTAAGCACCCTTGTCTCATTCCAGTTCTTAGCAGGAATACTTTTGACTTTACTTCGTTCAGTATGATCTTGGCTGTGGGTTTTTCATAACATGGCTTTTATTATTTTGAGGTATGTTTCTCCTATGCCAAGTTTATTAAGTGTTTTACCATGAAGTCATGCGAATTTTATCATATGCTTTTTCTGCATCTATTGAAATGATCATATGGTTTTTGTTCTTAATTCTGCTTATACAGTAAATCACATTACTGATTTGCGTATACTGAAACTTCCTTTTATCCCTAGAATAAAACCCACTTGAGAAGAGTATATCATATTTTTCATATGATGTTGGATTCAATTTGCTAGTATTTTGCTGAGGACTTCTACACCTAAATTCCTCAAGAATATGAGTCTTCATAGTAGTTTTCTTTTTTGTTGTTGTGTCATTGCCTAGTTTTGGTATATGGGTGATACTGCCTTCATAGAATAAGTTAAAAAGGATTCCCTCTTTTTTGATCTTTTGAAATAGTTTTGGTTGGATTGGGACCAGTTTTTCATTACAGATCTGAGAGAACTTGGCTGTGAATCCGTCTGGTCCTGGACATTTTTGTTTGTTTGTTTCTACTCACTATTGGTAGGTTCAGGAGTTTCATTTCTCCCTGATTCAAGCCTAAGATTTTGTATGTTTCTGCTTAGCTCCTGTGGCTCAAGTGGCTAAGATGCCAGCCATGTACAACCAAGGTGGCAGGTTCAAATCAAGCCCAGGCCCGCCAAACAACAATGATGGCTGGAACCAAAAAATAGCCGGGCATTGTGGTGGGTGCCTGTAGTCCCAGCTACTTGGGAGGCGGAGGCAGGAGACTCACTTGAGCCCAGGAGTTGGAGGTTGCTGTGAGTTGTGAT